TATTAAACGTTTCAATCTTATTACCACAAAAAAAAAATTATTTTAAACGGAAGGAAATTTCAATTCGCTCTAGAGGTTCTTTGTTTATACGAATTTGTTTTTTAAATATACACCTGAAATGAAATTTATTAGAAAGTTTGTCCGAAAAAATCCTCTTGATAATGAGATTCGATCCTAGCATTCTCGGGTCCACAGTCCAAGACGCTCTCAACTACGCTACTCTAAAACATGGAAACATGGCTTTTGCCTAATCTATTTGGGTTAAAAATTTAAAATAATTTAAACGTTAATAAAGTTTGCATTCTAGCAAGTATTTCAAAGCTTAAAAAAAATATTTGTCATTTGTGAAGATATGACATGTACAATGTAACTCAGAAATTATATATTTATCCTTATGTCCCATGATAGGATTTTATATTATTTAAAAGGAGAATATTAAAACAATTTCTATAGAAAATCAATGGATTCGAAAGGGAAACACGACTCAAAAATTATTTTAATAATTAATAAAACCTCCATAGGATTTTGCACTTTTTAATAGGTTTGACTTCTCCAACATCCAATAGGATATGAGTAGATGTCAATAGGATAATACGACTTAAAAATTATTTTTATTATAAATCGAACCTTAATAGGATTCTGCATTCTTTAATAGGTTAGACTTCTCCGTACGTACGTTTGTATAGACGTCAGCATTTTTTCCGTTTCTGATATCTTAAGAACGGATCGAGATATCAACCCTAACCAAAATATATTCGGAAGATATTATTGTAAAGAAGATCTGAAAAGAGTTTAAACGGATTCATAACCAAATATCACCTTTAACAATCACGCATTGTTTGCAACAATTAAAATTTATTAAACAAATAAACAATTGAAAATCGTATTGATGTATCAAATAGTGCGTATATTACATAAATGCGGATGTTTTTGTCAAAATGATATTATATATAATGAGATATGACACTTAACAATTATGCATTGTTTATAACAATTGAAAATTTATTATCGATTAAATAATGTGTATATCGCATAGATTCGGATGTTTTCGGAAAACAAAAACTTTTAATGATAATATATGACTCTTAAAAATTATGCATTTTTTACAACTATTTAAATTTTTTATAAACAATCACTAATAAGAATTATCCATCAAACCTCAACAAGATTCTGCAATCTTTAATACGTTTGACTTTTCCAACATCCTATTGAAGTTTGATGTATAATAAAAAAAAATTTATTAAGTAATATTTCCCTATTAGAATCCACGCATATCCTATTGGATGATAGAGATGTCTAACCTATTGAATAATGCAGAATTCTATTGAAGCTCGATACATAATAAAAAAAAAATTTCTAAGTCGCATTATTTTATTCAATTACTTAGCTTCCTATTCAAATATCTTTTATTTTCCCCTATAGAAACTCTCCGTTTCCTATAGAACCGCTAACTACCTTTTAGAATCATCATAATCTCATTCAGTTGTGTGTATAGGAAAGCTCGGAAGACTATAGATTTCACGATCACCATTTTCATACTAATTCGAATTTGTATAATCCTATTAGACTTTTCCCATTCAAATACCGAGAGTTTTTGGCAATCGGAAATTCAAATACCAACAATACAAAACTATGAGCAGCTAAAGAATTTATTTGGAACTCCTGAATACAAAAACTTGTGTATTTATACACAAGTGAATAAGTAAATTTTTTCCCTTGATTCCAAATGCAGATTTTGAAAAAAATATATTTATTTCAAGGTTGTTTCGCTGGGATTCATTTGTAGTCGACGTGAAATTTATGAAGAATTTAAATCTATGCTCAACATTGTTAGAGAAGAATTGCTTCGTAACACTCCGGCACTAATCATCACTGATTTTGAAATTTCTATGTGTTGAGAAAATCTCAACTTTTGAATTAACCTAACCGTTTAAGGATAGGGATGATTGTGCCGGAACAGAGCAAACGGAAGGCAGGTTTTATCAAAAATATATAATCTTTTTTTTCAGCACTAACAGGTACATAGTATACACTGTACAACTTTTTGTCACTGAATACAAAAAATTAATGTCTTTAGAAATCACTGAATGTCAATTGTAATTATTGAATTTGAATTGAATCTCTAAAAAATACTCAACTTGGTGTGTTCGGTATTATTGACCTCCCACACGAGCTCAGCACGCTTCTCAAGTTGATCAAGAATATGATTGTGCACGTAGCGTTAGCCTATCTATGCAATGCAAAATAGATTTATTTTACTTTCTTGAATGTACTGTGAATTGTCTTGAACTATTGATTGATTTCTATGGTAGACGATAACTTGAATGTTTCTGATGATTTACAATAGCACTAGCACTAATGATTGACTCAAAACTTTACGATTTATTCGAAAGGAATGTGAATGGCGTGTACACGTGAACGAGATCAGTGAAAGAATGGCAACAGGAACTTCATTAATCAAAAGGGACACTGAAAATTAGTCAAATAAGTGACTAGATTACGAAATATTGATTATTTGGTCGATTGGTTATTGACCCAGTCCCAAGATGGCCGCCGAAGTTCCTGTCAGCTGGCAAATTCAAACTGAGAATTAATTAATTCTCAACACTATGAAAAGAGGACTGAATAAAATATTTTCAAACAGAAGAGTTATTGGAAGTCTTAGTTATTACACTAGAGTAAGTACTGAATGTTTTGTGTTATTAACAATTTTTATTATGCCAATAACTGTATGAAAATTTAAAAATATACTTTTTTGCAGCTCCAGCATTTCCGAGTATATCTCGACGTTATTAATTATTTTGAGCAAAATGCGAGGAATTACGTTTTGAAATTCATTTCATTAATATTGTTACCCTCCAACAAAATACGAGAGGCGTTCGAGATAATTTGGAACAGTATGAATGCAGAATTACAAGCAATATATCTTCCATATGCACAGAATTTTAAAAATATATGGATCAACGGCGTTCAAGAAGAAAATATTAGTATTTATAATGAAATAAAAGCAACATATAGATGTAGTAGCCTTTTTATAAAACATCTTCAAAAAAAACTTCCTTCTAAGCAAACATTACAGAATTTTATAGGTAAGATTCTTATTAATGATGATTAGATTCATAGAAGTGATAATAAACTAATTCTAAAACTCTGATGCTGAAAACTATTGCTGAAACAATTATTGTAATAAATAATTAAGCGTCAGAAGTCCAAAAATTTTAGAACCGTTGCTAATTCGTTGTAATTTTGATCTTTTTTAGCGACATATATCAGAATTATGCATCAGTCTAAGCGGGCAATAAATCGACTACTTATTGATTCCCATGCAAGAACAACAGGGTTGGTTCGTGTAAGAGGATTGTCTTTTCAAACATCATTAATTCGTCTATGGAATTGGTCAGAAAGAAACAGACTACCTACAGAACAATTTGTAGACTGTTCGAGTATTCTTTTCACGCAATTTGTTCCAGATATTGATTTTGAAAACGAAAATTTTTTAATTGAGGAAAGACTAGTAACAGTAAATGATAATGGTAAAAAATGATAAAAATTACCATTAATTCACATAATTACATGTTAAACTTTTTGTCAGCAGAGATTGATGAATTACCAGATTTTGAGCTGCTTCCACGATTTAACATTGGAGACAACATTGAAAATGGTAATAATACAATAGAAAATAATAAGAACATTGGGGATGATGGCCGGAATGTCATGGAGAGTCTTGAAAACGCTGTTGAAGATAGAGGTAATGTGGTTGAAGGTGATAAAAACGTCATGAAGAATCGTGAAAACGCTGTTGAGCATGGAGAGAATGTTGTTGAAGGTGGTTTCCGTCATCATTATGATTTGCGTTGTCAAATTCATTTCAACTAACCCATACAAATAATATGTATGCCATGTGGTCATGCTATTATGTGCATGGATTGTGCAGCAAACATCGAAGAAACGCGCAGGAATAGAATAATAAGATGCCCGTACTGCAACTTTGAAAATAGTACTTTTCAACGAGTATTTTTTTCAGCTCTGAATTTATTCAATATTATTCTTTTTTTTATAATGACATTTAAAATATTTTCATTTCTAATGATATAATAAGAACAAAAATAGTTTTGTATGCATGACGTCCAATTAAAAAAATAATATTAATAATGTTTACTTTCAATTTTCTTTAAATAAATAATTTTTTTTTTTAATATATTAATTTTTTTTAAATTATACATTTTAAATATATGAAGTTCAATGAACTCATAATTCTTATTGAATTTAGTAGACTTCTCTTTTTCATTTGAAAACAAATAAAATTCAAATTTATTTAAATTATGTAGAATTGATGGTGAACGCCGTCTTCTATTTACGTATGGAGTCTTTTTCGTACAGGTAAATGGTGTTCTGTAAATAATATTAAAAATTCGGGCAAAATTGCTTATTTTGTAAAATCGCATCTTTGCTTTATTTTCGTGACTTTTGTTGTTCTAACGTTTCCTAAATATTAATTCTCTAAATAATTCTTAATTTTATATACTTCACTATTTTTTTCGAATTTTTAAATTATTTTCTTAAATTTTAAACGGAAAAATTGCAGGTACAATTCTTTAATATTATTTGAAATAATTTTTCTGAAGATTTCATATGAATGTTTATTTATTATTCGCAGTTTTAATTGCTCATTTAGAAATGTACTTTAGAAAATTTTTTTGTGTCATTTTACATTCTGCAATTCAGATGTAGAATTTTTATTTGAAAAAAAAACTACTCCATCGATAATTGCTTGGATGGTATCAAAGTTTTTGATGGACCAGGCATTAATGACGCTAAGTGTACGGTGCCATTTGACAGTTAAAATAATATTATTTTTTAAATTTCAATGCTTTCTACATGACCATGAGTCAATAAGAAATAATTGCAGCGCTCTCCGTCATTTAATAGTATTAGTCGCATGACTCTGTCTACTTTTACAAAGACATGTGTACACGTGAATAGTGTTTTATTTGGAAAACTCAAGACTTAATGTGATGCGCAGTAGGTGATGAGCGTACATTTCTCATCATTTCCCTGAATTTTTCTACAAAAATTTGAGGTTCTGGACCTACTTCTTCATCGATGAAATATTTTCCCGGTAATCGAAGTGTTGTCCCATCCAACATCTCTGCTGCACTTGCTTTAATGTCTTCTTTCACACTGGTTCGCAGTCCTAAGAGTACGACTGAGAGGATGCTCGTGTAATCGTTTGTACCATGACACATGAAAGCTGATTTCAAAGACCGATACCATCGTTCAATCATGCCGTTTGATGCAGGATGGTAGGCTGTCGTTCGTGTGCGACTGCATCCAAGTAGTTTTGTGAGAGCATCAAAGAGTCTTGATTCAAATTGAACACCTCTAGCGCTTGTTACAGGTGTTGGTAACGCTGGTAGTCCGCCAAAACGGCTGACCCAACCAGAAAAGAAAGCGTTGACAACTGTATTTGCTGTGACATCCTTCAGAGGGATAGCTTCCGGCCAGCGTACGAATCGGTCGATCATAGTCAAACAGTAACTATATCCCTGGCATGAAGGCATAGTAACTATATCGATGTGGACATGTCTAAAACGTTCACTAGGAACGGGTATAAAGGTAGACCCCTCCTCGTGGGTATACGTGGTAACTCTGCCCTTATTATAACGGGACAGAGGCTAAGAGCCACCATCGCCACTACCTCCTTATATGTCCACAATCGAGGCTCCGCCTTGATGTGGAGTCCTTTACAGGTGTGTGTGTGTGTGTGTGTGTGGGAGAAAATGTGTCTTAAGAGAGGATTTAATATTTATAAAAGATACCAAGTATCATGGCAGAAACGGCAGAAATAAAAAGGCAAATAAATGAATAATTTATTAATTAAATTAAATAAATAAGTAAACATAATGAATGTAAACTTTTGGCACAATTCCTATATATCAATACATGAACAAATAAATGAATAAATAAATAAATAAGTAAACAAAAGGATCTGAACCATGTTCACGATCGCAGCCTGTCACCTCAAGAGGTCAGCCGGTCCCTGCCGTAATGTATTTCACATTATTTACTGCACAAGGACCCAATCGACGTTCATACCGAACACTTACGAAAGGTCCTGACGACCCTTAGAGGCGAGCAAGTTGTTATTTGTATGGATACAAACGCCCGATATCCTCTGTGGTCACCAGACTTCAACACCAGAGAGGAAAAGCTTGCAAACTTCTTTACCGAATTCGGTCTGGAAGTTCTCAACAGAATTAAAAAAGGTCCCACATACAGCTCCTAAAGAGGAGGATCGTGCATTGACGTGACCGTAGCTACTCACGCAACAACAAATAATAAAAAAATAGGCCTGAGCACACTTTGTCTGTGCTAACACGACAAACTTCCTATTAGTAATTGTTGGTAATATACATACATACATCATTCTAAAAATATGTCAGTATGCTTGCAAATATCTTGAAAAGTGAAGATTTAATGAACATTCAAATTTTAACAATCGATCCAATTATAATAACTTCCTAATGGGAAGTTAATAACAAAGCAATAATAAACTTTTATATATTTCAGGAAACATCCAACTCTAACACTACCATTTTCTTTCTTCCAGCTGTTGACAACATAACGGTCCTCTCCTTACACCATAAACAACTGGGGTCACCGACCAAACCGGATAAAACTGGTACTACGGGAGACTGAAATCCAAGCCCTTATTCGGAGCTGCAAAGTCGAAGAACAATATGTAGAGAGCCGAGTCCTTTCGGTCAATTGAAATGGACTCGTAGTGGTATGTTGCAAGGCCTTGGGCTAGATGCGTGTATCCTCGTGTCTTTTTAAAGACACAAGAATATTACGTCCCAAGTAACGCCGTTACTCGAAGTAGAGTCGTCCCCAGAGTTATGCTCTATAAGGCAACGTACTCAAACAAAACGTCCTTCTCAGGACAGGGAAACAAGGATTCACTAGGAACTTCAATATGCTGTGGAATATTTTTGACATGACGATGAAGCTTACTTCTTTGACAATCTATTATCGGCGTAAAAAGTATAGGCCCCTCACTTTCAAAAGCGATATAAGAAAAAATAATAATCTCATTAAGTTGCGTGAGGAATCAATGGGAAGAGAAACCGATTCTACAACTTCTCTGAAAATTTCAATGCAATGAATTAAAAACTTCGCGAGTTACAGAATTTTTTAGAGTAAAAAACCATGTTTTTAGCGGTCAATTTTTCATGAGGGAAGTTTACACGATCGTAGCAATGCGAAAAATATAGGGATCGAATTGAAAATTTTATCGTAGTTAGGGAAGACGTTGAAAAATAAAATTAAGTTGGAAAAAAAAATTTTTTTTAATAAACAAAAAAGTTACAACAAATAATATCAGAGGACAATATCTCGGCACCAAATGATGATAGAAAAATGAGACAACATCGACATGAAAGAAAAAAAATTATAGAGAATGTATCGCGAATAATAGATAGCAAAAAAAAAGAAACCGCGAAAATACATAACATTTAAAAAATCATGCAGGTGTTTATGACAGTCATTAACGGCAAGGATAATCCATCGTAAACCTTTTCTTCTCATATATAAGCTTAAACATATAAAAGTAACAAAAAAACTATATTTTTCAACAAACATCATAAAAGAATGACACACAGAAGGGCGTAAAATAGGTAAAATATTTAAGGGGCAAAAGAAGATAGACACAACTTGCACGGAAGCATCCAGTACAGAAAATAAGGAAAAGAAAACATAATTTTCTCACCTTTAAAAATCTGTAACTCTTTCCAATATTAATATTAAGGAATAAAAATTGGCAGACTAATAGAGAATAGTCTGATCTATAATTCCATCTAATTAGAATGATAAAAAAACCGCGAATTAGCTCGCGGGCTATTATGAGAGCATCGATTTAAGAGCAGAAGGTACAGAAAACATGATTTTCTCACCTTCAAAAATCTGTGCCCGCGAGCTAATTCGCGGTTTTTTTATCATTCTAATTAGATGGAATTATAGATCAGACTATTCTCTATTAGTCTGCCAATTTTTATTTCCTTAATATTAATATTGGAAAGAGTTACAGATTTTTAAAGGTGAGAAAATTATGTTTTCTTTTCCTTATTTTCTGTACTGGATGCTTCCGTGCAAGTTGTGTCTATCTTCTTTTGCCCCTTAAATATTTTACCTATTTTACGCCCTTCTGTGTGTCATTCTTTTATGATGTTTGTTGAAAAATATAGTTTTTTTGTTACTTTTATATGTTTAAGCTTATATATGAGAAGAAAAGGTTTACGATGGATTATCCTTGCCGTTAATGACTGTCATAAACACCTGCATGATTTTTTAAATGTTATGTATTTTCGCGGTTTCTTTTTTTTTGCTATCTATTATTCGCGATACATTCTCTATAATTTTTTTTCTTTCATGTCGATGTTGTCTCATTTTTCTATCATCATTTGGTGCCGAGATATTGTCCTCTGATATTATTTGTTGTAACTTTTTTGTTTATTAAAAAAAATTTTTTTTTCCAACTTAATTTTATTTTTCAACGTCTTCCCTAACTACGATAAAATTTTCAATTCGATCCCTATATTTTTCGCATTGCTACGATCGTGTAAACTTCCCTCATGAAAAATTGACCGCTAAAAACATGGTTTTTTACTCTAAAAAATTCTGTAACTCGCGAAGTTTTTAATTCATTGCATTGAAATTTTCAGAGAAGTTGTAGAATCGGTTTCTCTTCCCATTGATTCCTCACGCAACTTAATGAGATTATTATTTTTTCTTATATCGCTTTTGAAAGTGAGGGGCCTATACTTTTTACGCCGATAATAGGCAATTGCGTGCCCACAGCGTGATATCACGATTCATGTGAGGCCAAGCAAAATGTGGACTGATAAGTTGTTTGGTCGCTCGTCCATTTGGACGAGATAGGTTATGTACATTATCGAAGACTTGTTTTCGGAGCGCTGATGGTATGTATGGTCTAATTTTGTCACCTGAGACGTCACAATAAATTACTGTTACATTGTGGACGATGTGGCGATGTTACATTACAAGAACATTGCGCGTATGCAACAAATGTTACCTAAAATTAGTAAAAATATGTTATGTTACATTTAAATAACAGTTGCATAACAAATGTAATGTAACATAGAGATTACAGTGTTATATCATAGAAACATAACATTAATTACAAAAAATATATACTACTAGTATAACAGCGTTATATAACATGGATACAACATGCATGTAACGCTAATTATATTGCCATTAGATAACTACGTTATATAGCTACAACGTCACATGTGTGTGAGATCTGCAATATAAACTTGTTACTTTGACAATATATTACAATTATATAACATACATGTAACTTCTCGTTATATAACTTGTTACATATTGTTACCTTTGAATTATATTGCTGTTATATTCAGTGTTTACTGGCTATCAATGGAATAAAATATTTTGCAATAGACGGATTGAAATTCAATACAGTTTTGATGATTCAATAGATACACTCGCCATCAAGCGTGAAGAGGAAATTGAAAGAATGAAGATGGAAAGTATTGGCATTAATAACATGTTCTTCTGTGATTTGTTAACACATTACATTCATCTTCTTGGTACATTAATGAAAAATAAGAAAATTCAAAAAATTTTAAAACCATCCATTCATAATGAGAAGTTTTCATTATATATAGGTATTATAAGATTCCGACGTCGAGATGCACAAATTCGTTATAGACGATATAAAGTGAAGGAATCTGCTAGGGAATACTTTACTTCAAATATTAATCAAGAACTTCCTCATGAGTGTATCAACAAAGTGTTGGATTACTCGACCATCGTAGATCTGAAGACGTTTATCCGAACTTTTGAGCCTCCGAGGGAAAGCACAACTTTCAAGCGTGTACTTTGTACAATCCGAATGATTAAAGAATTGATCACTTGAATTTCTGTAACTTGAGCAATTTCGATTTAATGAAACAACTTTAATAATAAAATAATTACAAACTTTAATCCATTCAATTTTATCTTACTAAAAATTCATTTATTTCGAAACCCAAAAATAACTTTTCAGACATCTTGCAGAGAAACAGATCGCTCTAACCTAATAATAGAGTTATCTTTCAGTTAACTATTTTCTCCCAGGGAATTATGATTAAAAATGACTTTTTTTACGGAAATTTCAGAAATTGTAGAAAAATCATGCAACGGCACCTATTAAATTTTTTAAAGTTTTTTATTTTAAGGCTGAGCTGGAGTCAGAAAATTTCCCGAAGTTGATTTTACGCTCTCGCGTCGTGCGGTTGAACATATGTTACTGTTAATAAGTTGTTAAACACAGGCTATTATCAATGTATGTGTACGAAAAACAGGATTATGGCCCTGTTCAAATATTTTCCGACTTAGCGTCAATAAATTCAATGAGTAAGTAGGAAAGAAAATCAAATCATTTGAAACAATTGTGGCGAGAGTTTATGTCGCCACAATAAAAAGATGATATTATGTTTTTTATTAATTAGAAGAATGTGGGGATTGATAATTGGATTTT